TCTTGATCCCAGAGGGAAATTAGATTTCTTTAGCCTAACCTTGACCCCTTACCCTAAACTTACCCCGACACATGCCCCCCCCACACACACACACACACACACACACACACACACACACACACACACACACACACACACACACACACACACACACACACACACACAGAGTGTGAGAAATGAGCTAGGAGCAGGTAAAAACCTGTTTCTGTGTAAAACTGTCTGAGATGGTGATGCATTCATCACCGGCTCATGTTAGTGTAAAATGTGAGACCAACCTCTTTGGTGTCTTCTGTGTCGCTCTCTGTGTCGCTGCCTGAAGAAACAAACAGAAACAAAGACGTAGAATCAGTGAGGTTTCAGTGAACAGAATAAAAGGATGAACCTGGGCCTACTACAGCTTTCCCACTGCTAACTACCAGACTTTTCCCAGAACCAAACCTCCACATTTTTCTGATCAATTCTCAGATATTTAAATTTGCGTTGTCCTGATCCAGATACCAGCCTTTTTTATTGCCTTGATACCTGAAACTGATACAAATACCAGCATCAGTACTGTCACTGGTATCAGCACTCCATGAAATGTGCTAAAGCTCAGGTGAACTGCTGGTCACTTCCATGTTTAAGACATTTATACAAGTTCAAAGAGAATATAGTTTTATTTCTTTTATAATTCTACCACAGTATGCTGCTGTATGTTTGATCAGATCCAGTCAGAYGGGCTGTGGGTCTATAAGGAAGCAGAGACACCTTATTCTAAATAACAGAAATGTGTTTGTYAAGTTATTGTTTAGTTTAATTATTTTTTTAGTTTTATTGTAATTGATTTGGTATATTTTGTTTCATGTCGTCTCTGATGTTTAAATTGTTTTTCAATGTAAAGCACTTCGTACCATTTATTTAGAAAGGTGCTATACAAATAAAGTRATTATTATTATGTAATGTTTAGCTTCTACCTCAGTAAGTACTCTGTATCAGTACTCGGTAAGGACGAGTACACAAACTGAACTACTTGTAACATGAGGAAAAACTAGTATCTGGACCTAGTTTAAAGTGCCTGTGACATGAAGTTCTTTGTAATAAACACYAATGCATTTTTGGAAATATAACACTGATAACATGTTGCAAAACTAATTTCACATCACTGAGATGAACGGTTGTTGAGATATTTGCATGTGAAGAAACAGGAAGTGATGTCAAAGGGGAACGTCTGCATGTAAACAGAGCGTTGTTACAAAACCTAACAACACAGGCTGTAGAGAAGAATCTGATGTTTCTTTGGATTACAGTATTTAATCGATATAAAAGAGAGACGAATAAGAGTTAAAGA